ATGTTCTGATCCCAGCTAGTAAAGAGACTGCAACTATTGTAAAAAGCTATTTACCAGAGGAAGATAATTCCACCAACGAAGCAAAAGCTACTAAAGAAGAGAATGCGCCCAAAGAAAAGAAGAGGGAGATCATACTCTATGTTCCAAGGGTGTAGGAGCGGTGATTATCAAAGTGGGATGTGGAGATAAGTATGATAGACTATAGCTTTATGTGATCTACTTACTTGGTTCATATATCTTAGTTGAAATTGTTAATGCTACTGAGATTAGTAAGATAATTCCTTCAACACAGCATAAAGAATGCATTTACATCAGGGTGTTTACATTTACATCTAAATTGTTATGCTATTGTAAAGTCATTTACATACAACTAAGAAGAACTAACAGCAAGGCAATCATAATCACTGGTAAAAATTGGTGTATACATATTTGCAAATCCACTCACATGTCTTTACAAATATACAATCCGTAAATCTGTATATATAATTATCCAAGCAGGGTAAGACCATTATGGTATGGAAATAAAAGAATGGAGTTAGCATAACTAAACTTTTCTGAGGGGTTTGCAAGCAGAACAAACATGTACGAGTAACTTGGATGAACCTTTGACTATTTAAAACTTTTTAATTACCTTGTTTCTGAAATAGGGGAATTGTAAACACTTACAGGCCAAAATTGCACATCTGCACGAATTCCATGTCATTATCCACATACTTGCTCCATAGCTCCTTCTATTGATTCATTTTCAATATCAAGCCAAGGCTTCATGCTCCCACTAAAATGCATGACTGCTGCATTAGTAATTCTCACACTAGGATTATAACCAATCCCAAGGACATGTCAGGATTTGTCAAATGTCTTTGTTTTCGAGTAGAATGTAGCCAAGCAAGCTGGAAGGGTTCCTTGCTGTCACATGATATGGTCTTCATTCTAGAAAACATCATGTGAGCAATGAAGTCAAAAGAGGATCCAGCTCAAGACACTTGAGCATTAGCATAGAAATATAAATATTGAAGTAAAATACACAAAGCTCAGAAGGGAGACATAATCATACCAAGTTCTGCCAGTAATACTAATGGTACTGCTCTGTGCATTTCTCACGCCTCCAAGCTAAGCATCCGACCAAATATGTTCATCCCATAAGCCCATGCACACTTGCACAGGCTTTGGGGTTGAAGTCCTCCCGAATTAGATTATGAAAGAAGTTCAAGTACTATGAGTACCCATGGAAGGACCCAAAGTAACTCTCAACAGCACCATTCACCTTACCATCTAGATCAATGTTCCATAAATCAGTCAAATCTTTCTGAACCTCAACATCACCGTCCAAAAGCACAATATGGTGCAGGTCAGGATACATCTGGGGCAAGTAAAATCAGAAATGATTGAGCATCGGCAACTACTTGGTATCTTTAGTAGCATTTAATGCCTGGTTCTCAGAGTCATGAGTTTGTGACTTTGCTGATTCAACCAGTCTAAGCAATGGTCCATAAGATGGGTTCGCTTTGTCTGGTCTTTTTTTTTTTTTTTGGCTGGTCTTGTTGGTGAATGCTTATCCTCAGACACTGAAAGTCTTCCATTGGTTTCACTTCAACATGGGCTCCCCCTGTGCAAAGTCTCATCTTGAACCAAACCTTCATTGCCGCAACAATCTTCCTATCTATCACCACATGGAAAACATGCTTCCATGGCTCTTTTGCATTCTTCACCACTGAATACATAACAACTGATACAGCAATGACAATCTCTGAGTATATCGCATAATGATACAAGGTTGGGTCCTCAAACTCAGGTTTCGGCTCTTCATCCTGATACTTGGGCAAATCTCTCTACAACAAACCTCAAGCAAGAGAATGCTAACTTTTAGGCACAGATTTCGCAGCAATGTAGCTTGTAATTGCACCGTTCGTTTTTCGCTTTAACAAACTGCTCATAAACATTGTGGTGCAATTTAATTGATTGTCATACGACTCTTTCACTTCAGCAATCAATCATCAACCTTGCAACCTTCACTTCCTTCTCAAATTGCCTCAAGACATCCTCATCCACAGTGCCTTTAGTCTCAAACAAAGCAGCACAGCAAGCTAGTTTAGACAACGTATTTTTAAAAATTCTGGGCTAACTCATCAAAAAACTTTAGCTACCCCGAGTTTCAGCTGTTGTGCATAGGCAGCATAGGCATTAATTAACAAGCATGAAATGATCACGGGCTTGTTTGTAAATCAAGTCCAGCCTAGTTCTCAGCGGATCTAACTTCAAAGCTAAAAATGACCGATGAATAAATGCAATCCAATTGTTGGCAATTCCAGTTTCAGCCACCAAATCATAAGAAAAAATCCAATTCCAATCTCCATAATCTGTACAAATTCCAACAGCCACCAATTTATCTAGCCGCGATAATAAAACATACAGGAGACGAGAGCAAGCTAGGTTCATGTTTATCCTACAAAACTACATACCATTTTCACATCAAAATTCCACTCCCTCCATTAATCCATTCTAAACTATAGGAGAGAAAACAATTAAACAAACCCTAACATTCCCCTTAACAAATCTATCCAGCAATTTTTTCCAAATATTCCTCAAACACATTCTACTGCAAAATCCCACCCATTAACAGAGAACAAGCTCAGTCTTCATAGTCAGTTCAATGTACACTATTTAAAAGAAAAGAAACTCAATTTCAATTAAATGAATTATTTTCCCTACATAATCACTCACTACTGTCTAAATTAACAGAATCTGATTCTAAAAAGTAAAAAAAAATTTAAAAAAAAAAACAAAATCCAACAAATTCAATGAGCTAATAAAATCATGTAACAAGCACAAAAACAGCATCATAAATCATAAAATCAATAAGAACAATAAAAAAAGGCAGCAACTTTCAAGAGTAAAGAAAACATACAGGATCTGAAGAAGATGGATAAGAAGATGTGAAGAAGAGTTAAGAGTAGCAAGGAAGAGGAGAGAGAATATGACGGAATATCGGGTATGACATTATGCTTCGTATACCCATCAAACCCGACCCGGACCCACCTCTTCCTCCTCTCTCAGCAACCGCCATTGTTGCACTTCTTCAGAGATCTCAATATACCCTTTTCAATGGATGATTCAAACCCGAATTTCAGAATCTGGGTTTTTGCAATTATCAGAGAAAAGGTGTATTTGAGTGTAAAATGAGAGTGAGAGTGAAGAAGATGATTTTGGGTTTGGGGAATTTTTGACGGAAATTTAAAATTATTTTTCTCAATCGATCATTCGATCTACCATGTCGGTAGTGGTTGTTGTTATTTACTTATTTAGAAGAAATTATAGTGTTTCTCAACATCAATTAGCGGTTTTGAGTTCCTTTTTTTTGAAGAAAAAAAAAAAGAGTAACGGTTATGAGAAATTAGGATGTTGATACGTTATACGGGTGAAATTTCAAATTTGGCTTACTCGAATCTAGATGGTCAGACCTTATTTTTTGGATTTTCGGCTAGACCTAGGGGTGCTAATTGAGTTGAGTAGCTCGCGAGCAACTCGAACTTAACTCGGTCAAAATTTGACTTCAGTTGGCTGACTCATGTTCAGCTCGACTCAAGACGTTAACGAGCATGAATTTAAAGGCAAGCTCTGACTCGACTCGATAGGCTCGTGAGCAACTTGATAATATATTTTAGAAATATAAAATTTAAACACGGTTTTCATGATTAAAAAAATTTGACACTTAATAAGAGTTTATTTATATCATCAAAAATTAATGAGTAAAGTTCTAATAATAGATAAATAAAAAGAAAACTTATATAAAGTGGGAAAAACAAAGGCATAGATATAATTTTACATTGACCAAAACCTTAATGAGCATATCGCGAGCTACTAGACGATACGAGTACTAATGTGCTTAGCGAGTAGCGAACACGAGTTGAGCCCATGTAAAAAAAATTCGAGTTGAGTCGAGCACCCTTCAACTCGTGATCGACTCACTCGATTAGCACCCCCTACTTAGGCCGAATATGCATTATCTATGTTTTTTAGTTTACCCCAAATGCTTGAATTGATTTGGCCTATATTCATGACATAATTATAAAAAATAAAAAAAAAAAAATTATTGTCAAAACTCATTATAACGAATATATAATCGTTTTACTCTATGTGAAACTAGTGGAAGTTAATGTTTAAAGGTAGCAAATACGAATATAATCTAGTATAATAAGAATAATAACGTCTAAAATGAATGTTTCAAGCTGGAAAATTAAGGTAATTGGTCACAGCCTTTTATGTTAGCACATAATTTATGGTGCAAAACTGTCTTGAATTGCAGCACACAATACCTGGAAATTTCAGCATAGACATGGAAGGCAATTCCAGTGCATAGTTCATTGTTAAACCACTACACTTACTACTAATCAAGTCAAGAGAATACCATTCAGCATTCACATGCAAACCGAATGCAGGATTAGGGGTCAGATTGAAATGTGAAATAAATACTTGCATATAGCTCAAGTACCTCCAAGTAGTGATTATAAAAGCAGCTACTTGGCAGCACAGTCGTCGTATTGAAGATGCAAGAAATCCATCCAACACCAGATTTTTGTAGATTTCTGAATACACAGTTGAGTAATAAGATTACTCATATCCTGCAAAAATGACAGACCCATCCATAAGATATGTGATAAAGAGATGAGAAAATTCAGAAGCCAAAATCAATTTGCTTCTGCTTACCTTAAAGAGAGTAACCGTGACAAGTACAGACTCCCAACTTAAGGAGATAAGAGGAGAGAACTGGTTCAAAAAATGTTTTCTCCTCTAGGAAATATTGCATGCATATCTGATTCTAAACAAGTTTTAACTGATAGAATTAGTTAACTCATTCTGCATCCTTGATATAATTTCGGACATAAGAAGGGTGTTTTGCTAATTATATTATGTTGTCCTTGTGTTCTTTATCTAAAAGTTCAGTTCAAACTTCAGAATGCTTTTCAACTGATAAATAATTTTGAAAATGGCATATAACTCCATAATATAAAAGGGTAATTATTGAAACAATTTTGGCACTGGCTGATTACATAATTCTATAAGCAGAAAACACAAATAAATGCTAAATTTACAGTATTTTTATATTTTAGTTAAATAATAAAAAAAATAAGTGGACAATTCAGCCACTACTAATCATGAAATATCAGCTGGACATTTGTATACAATATTTTCCTGAGTTCCTGCACACATATCTTGCAATTTTCAGCCTCATCTGCCCTCCATTTTAAACGGTTTTGCACAAACAACTCATCTCCAGACCTATCAGTAGCATATGCACTGAGATTAATCTTCTGGAGAGAATCGGTGCATTCAACAAGATAGGCAAGAAAGTCTATGGTATATACATCGGCTCTAAAGCCAGACAACTTGACCTCTTTAAGGTTCTTATGTGGAGACATAGACGGCAATTCTAGTGCTTCCATTTCCTTGAGAGAAGCTCTTGTTGGTGAAAGCTACAAGCCACGCAAAGAAAAAATAAAATCAATTAGGACCAGGAATAGGGGAATTCAGATTGACATGTGAAAGAAATACTTACATGTAGCTCAAGTAGCTCCAAGTATGGGGCTGCACTGATTATAAAAGCCGCTACTTGGCAACATAGTCGTATTGAAGATGAATTTGCATCCAACCAGAGTTTTTTAGATTGCTAAACACAAAAGTTCCATAAAATTACTCATATCCTGCACAGATGACAGACCCATCCATCATGTAAGCATAAGTAGCCAAAAGATAAGAAAAATCAGTACGCTCAATGAATTTGCTTCTGCTTACCTCAAAAAGAGCAACTGAGACAACCATAGATTCCAGCTTAGGGAGATAAGAGGAGAACTGGTTGAAAATAAAGTTTTTTCCTCTAGGAAATATCGGGTGCATATCTGATTTTAAACCAGTTTTCAACTGATAGGCACAGGGATGCAAGCTGTGGAGCATCCTTAATACATAATCTTACCTTATAACCTCCTTCATACATGAATGACACAAGATTTGGGGCCAAAAGTTCCAATTTATTTAAGTCATAACAACCCTGCAGCTTCAGTGATTTCAGCTTTAGGTGAGGAGCTGTATTCTTAGCATTAACTAGCCCACAATTATGCGTCAAATGAAAATTTTCTAGAGAGGAACAATTGTATAAAATTATGTCAAATACTTGGTCTGAAAGGTTTACAGACCTAAGTCGGAGATCTCTTAAAGACACAAAGCTTCTAACATTGGGAGAGGAACGATTTAATAACATCATCTCTTCTCGTGCAAACACATGGAGAGGAACATGATAATTGTCAAAACCTTCATGTCTAGGCCAACCACCGAAGTCGAGTTCAAGCTCAGAAACACGATTTCGAGTTGCAAAGGAAATCCATTCATCAATATGAGACTTAAATCTCTCAGACATTGGGTGCACAATCCTGAATTTATGCAACTTTCCACCATTAAATTTCTCCAAAACTTTGTTGACTCTATGCACAAGTACTTCAGTATAATAGGTTTTCTTAAGAAATCCAAAGTCAAGAATAGGGTATGATACCCATACATCAGCCCATCTCTTTGAAAGGATGCTAGTAGTTATTGCTTCCTTCAATGTTAATCTTGCCACAATATTTTGACAGGAGTTCATCTGGCAAATCACTAATCCGGTCTTTCTCTTCAATTTTTTTGAATCGCTGAATTTTCCAAACACAATTGAAAAAAAAAAAAACATAAATCATGTTGCAAAGCACAAAAATTTAATCATAATACTATCAGTTTTGTTTGTTGCAAAGAACAAAACTTTAATCATAATACTATCATTTGTTTGTTGCAAAGTATTAAACTATAACCATAATACCATCAATCGTATTGTAATTTGCAAAGCACACAACTGTTACCC